GACACCCAAGTCCCAAATTACTCTCACACTTAAACTGACTGACTTTGATAGTTTACCATCTCTTCCTTTTTTTGTGATCATACGAAAAAAAGAACATCTGACCTCCTACTTTCATTTACAACTTATGTGCTAACAAAATACAGCAAAGCGCAAGCTGATAAAAAGTAACTATTCGCGAATGGTTGGTCTTCTGAAATACCATATCACATACCCTATAAACGGAAGATACCATACGTCTAAAGGCCAAACCATACAAAAAAAAAATGACTCGTACACGTAACCTACCCGAAAGTACTGACAAGCGCAGAATGATGTTCCTTATTATTAGGATCAAGTCCAGTGAGGAAAATAAGCTGTTGTGGCCTTCCGATTAGCCATTCGCCGGCTTCAACCGGATCCATGACTCAAAACTAGGGACAAGTAAAGATACAACTTTATTTCCATAGTATGTATGTATATGACAACAACATCTGAACTGTTCCGAAGCAATTCCACAACAATTTATTCAAAAATCATAAACATCGAAAACAACAAATCAGACGCAAAGATGACGATACCAAGACGAGACTAGTCGAGCTGAAAAAGAAAACATCAGTTTTAAAGAAAAAGGTGATTGATAAATAAATTGTAGATTGCGATCTCCTGTCTATCTCCATGCAAAAAATAGACTTTAGATCAAAGCAGTTGCTTTCGCAGAACTAACTAGACCGATCAAACATGGAACTTGTCGGTAATGGGAGTCTGCCTCTAAAGGAAAAAGCAAACGAACCTTCTTGAAACCGATGTCTTTAGCGTATTCTCGGAAGCATCGTCGGCACATGTCCAAACCATATTTGCGGATGAGGCCATGATGGTTAGAGCATACGCGGCTAAAATATCTATGTTTAGCATTCTTATCGGATATTTTTTAAAACTAAAAGATTTTACGTTGGAAACCAAACAACACTACTTGAGCCTCCGTGCTTTAACATTAAATCGAGTCCTAAGCACTTCTCACCTCTTAAGCAAGAGAGGAAAATATGAGATGTTCTTGCTTGTGGCGAAGATTCAGTTCAAGATACAAGATGTGCTTGTGGCAAGCAGGTGTCATAAATAGAGAACTTTTAGCGAGAACAAGTTTCTATAAAATCAAACTAATGATGCAAACGGTGACGAC